CGAATTAAAGTTATAGTTTACTGCTGGCGAAATTAAAAGGTGAGTACAATGTTCATATAAACTTTTCAAATATTGGCGTTGAGAAACTATTTAATACTTTTGTATTTTTGTATTGAGATAATAAAATAATGTTCACATTTAGTATTATTTTACAAGAAAGGCACTTTATTTTAACGATTGTATGACATTTGACAACTGCCAACTAACTTCAGCCCGTGACTAAAACCCTGTTGCTAACTTTAGCCCGTGACTAAAGTGCCGTAAAGCCACAACTTGTCAATGTGTATTTAAAAGATCACTTAGTGTCATGGAAACATGTACGATAAAGGGCGTTTTAAAAGTGGGAGTAGAAAAAGATAATTATGTGCTTATTATAAAAATCGGACAACAAACAAATTTATGGGAAATAGAAATGTGAATGAAATGTTTAGCCTCTGGGTTCTTGAAAACTGATCCTATTTACACAAAAAGTAATTGGATAAGGAAATCTCGATTTTAAGTAGGTATTCCTTAACGAAGTTATTGAGAAAAGCGCTGAATGTCTTTTCAGAATTAAATCTGATTTATAAATGGCAGCTTGTTTAATACACCGTATTTAATCAATAATGAGACTTATAAAAATATTTTATATTCTATAGAACTAAAAGATAAAATAAAAAAGAGTATGCAAAATTATATTTTAAAAGGCAAATATTAGGAGAACTTTATCGCGTTTAGACTTTACCAGAAAGATTTAAAATGTTAAGATTGTATTGCTTTTATTGAGTGTAAACAATTTTTTCACACCTACACATTATTCTTACGTAAATATGTTTTTCTACTCCCACCTTTAAAACGCCCTTTATAGTACATGTTTCCATGACACTAAGGGACCTTTTAAATACACATTGACAAGTTGTGGTTTTACGGCGTTTTAGTCACGGGCTGAAGTTAGCAACAGGGTTTTAGTGACGGGCTGAAGTTAGTTTTAAGTTAGTTGACATTTGTCAAATGTCATACAATCGTTAAAATAAAGTGCCTTTCTTGTAAAATAATACTAAATGTGAAAATTATTTTATTATCTCAATACAAAAATACGTATTAAATAGTTTCTCAACGCCAATATTTGAAAAGTTTATATGAACATTGTACCGACCTTTAAATTTCGCCGGCAGTAAACTATAACTTAAATTCGGGCACGGACTCCACTGTAAAGTGCTCATAAAACATTTTCTTTACTTTCACTGTGAAAAACTGTCAATTGTCAAGAAATACATTTCGATTTATAACCTTTATAAAATTTGACATTTGACGGTGACACACAGATTCCCCTATTGTTTTATAGATGGCGCTCTATACAAATTTTAGACTTAAATCATTTTAAGATAATAATAAGTATTTTTCGTAGAAAAAGTATAGTATGCACCTCGTTTATAAACTTTTCTATACACTCATTAATTTAATCCAAATTAAATTCGTGTATAAAATGGCGTTTATCAAACTTGATACATAATATACTATTTTCTACTCGAACCGTTATCGTACATGTTTCCATTACACTAATTGTTCTTTTAAATACACATTTAGAAGTTGTGGCTTTATGGCGTTTTAGTTACGGGCTAAAGTTGGTTTTAGTCACGGGCTGAAGTAAGTTTTAAGTTAGTTGACAGTTGTCAAATGTCATATAATAGTTAATATAAAGTGCCCTTCTTGTAAAATAATAGTGTGGATATTATATATTTTATTATCTTAACACAAAAATAAAAAGTATTAAATACCTACTCGTATTTAAAAAGTTTATATGCAAGTTTGTAGTAGTCCATTTTAAAGAAATAAATTTCGATTTACACATACAAATTTGACATTTTGACTAGCGCGCCGGTAATACAGATTCCCAAGTTACGCGAGTTACTTTATTAAATATTTAATTTAACTTATTTTTAGATAATAATAAGTATTTGCCGTAAAAAAAGTATAGTACGCAACTCGTTTATAAAGTTTTTAGACACTCATTTAATTTAACACTTGATACATAATATGCAATTAAACATTATTACATATTTGTAGTTAAATTTTAAAGGAAAATAATCCAAGAAAGACATAGAAAAAGATTATCATCTGTCAATATGTTTAAGGTCAAGTCACACTACAATACGTTAATAATTTATTCAAGCGTGTTTTTTTCAAGTGTATACTAATTTTAATATTATAACACTAATAAACCTTTATAGAAAGACTTATTAATACTAGTTCAAAAATCAAATTATTATAAAACTCCGTACAAAAATAAACCTAAAATGTAAACATGTCAGTTGAACCTAACCTAAAAATATGGGGAGTTTTCTATCTCGAAGAAATATGATCAAGATATGGACAGTTTTTCACTTTTTGTCATTATAGAACAATCTAAGCATCGGGTTTTCGCAACGCGCGCGCCATCTGGTGGCGCTCGATATCATTATTGAACTACAACGTTTGTCAACAATACATTTAAAGCATACGAACTGAACATTTTGAAATAAATAAGTAGTCTTATTTGCCTATATAGTTACGTTACTGTGTGTATTTTATTTAAGTGATCATGGTGAATTATTATGTTTAATTGTAAATGTAATTCAAGAACTAAATCGTTGCATTTTCATGTTTTGCCAAAGGATCCAATTCGGTACGTATATTTGTTGGTGCGGAATCAACTAATGATATGTTTACCTAATATAATTATTATTTAAATTTGGACGTTTTTAAAAAATCTAACAAAAAATAATAGTTAACCTAAACAATTTTATATCTGAGTATGACAATTGCATTTTTTTAACGCTGTTTGAATTTAGACGACTTATTTGTTTTATAATTTTTACTGAATTGAAATGTTTACAATTTTTACGTAAATCAATACTAAGTTGTGTATTTATTGTATCTAATGGGGACAATTTATATTTACAGGGACACTATGCAATTACTTTTTTCAATCGAATTTTCACTGTTTATTGGCAAACCGTTAAAAAGTCGACCCAAGATTTCCTCTCGAAAACACCCAAAAACTCAACAAAGTTTTTTTTCTCGATATTTTTAGCATTTTCCGGCTTATTCTCAAAAACTCTTTTTGTAACATACGCGTTTAACAGCTGCTTATTAAAACCTGAATTTTGGTTAGATGTTAATATTTTAAAAAGTATAATTTTACAAAGCAGTATTTATAAACCTTAGTTTTAATTCATTAAATAATTAATTTAAAACTTTAGGTATACCTACACAAGAATGGTTTTAAAAATTGTTCGATTTAGTTAGAAAAAAATTGTAATTTTTAAAACGGAACGGGGAAAATAAAACAGTAAACATTAATGCGCAAAACCATAATCCACTTATTTTTAATTTAAAATAATAATTAATTTGCAGAATTTTGATCACTGATGACACAAAACTAACTATTGTATGATTTAAAATGGCTGACAATGACATTGAAATTACATATTTTATGCCCAGTTGCACCGCACATATTTATGGGGATATTAGTCTTAATCATTACTTAAGCGCATTTTTTGTTTTGCACCGCACTGTAATTAATTATTAAACTGTTTTTGAATAATTCGCCAAAATTAGCGTTTTAACAATTTAATATGTATTTAGTTCATGCGCATTTTTGTTACCTAACCTAACATTGCTGTTAGCTAAACATAAAGATATGTAGTTTTGTGACTTTGGTGTGAAATATTGTGCAAGATAATGGAAGTTGCCGAATTAGATATTTGGGAAGATGATGTCGACATCTTGGAAATTATAGATGCTGGTTTTCCGCGTATGCGATATACCAGATCCGATGCATTTCACCAACTACCGGAGTATCAATTTTACTGTAGATTTCGCTTGACAAAACAATCTGCTTTAAATTTGCTATTGGAAATTGAACATGGGCTGGAATTTCCTAATGATTTGTAAGTATATATTTATAACTTAATGACGAGCGGTAGATTAAAATGTTTTTTTTAGGAACGACAGCGTTTCGCCCATGAACCAGCTGTTAACAGCACTCAGGTATTATGCTTCGGCAGGATATCTCCTACCAGTTGCTGATTACATGGGCATGCATGAGTCTACAGTATCACGTATAATAGTACGAGTATCCGAAGCCATAGCTCGTTTACGTCCAAATTATGTAAAACTACCAGTGGGCGATGAAGTACAAACTACGCAAAATCAATTTTATGAAATCGCTAGATTTCCTCGGGTCCTGGGAGCAGTTGACGGTACTCACATCAGAATTCAATCGCCTGGTGGTAATGATGCAGAAATTTATCGGAATCGTAAAACGTACTTTTCGCTAAATGTACAAGTTGTATGTGATGCACAGATGAAAATCTTGGATATCGTTGCACGCTGGCCGGGGTCGGCACATGATGCTACCATTTTTAATAATAGTAGAATCAGGGCCCGAATGGAAAACAATGACTTTCCCAATTGCCTTTTGCTTGGGGATAGTGGATATGCGGTAAAAAAATACTTGATGACGCCTCTTACACAAACCTTGACACATGGTCAAGAACTTTATAATGAATCCCATATAAGAACCCGAAATGTTGTTGAAAGAGTATTCGGTTGTTGGAAAAGAAGATTCCCAATACTAGCCTACGGAAGTAGATTAAAAGTTAGTACAACTATGTCCGTAATTGTAGCAACAGCAGTAGTTTACAACTTTGCTAAAGAAATAAATGAGCCGGAACCTCCCCTAGCCCATGGTATTGATCCCCATGAATTGGAAATGTTAATTCAGGAAGGACAAGTGCCGCAGGTTCCTCCTCACAACGCGGAACAAGTGTTCGATAATACAGTTCGCAATCAATTTGTTAACAATTATTTTGAATACTTGTAAAATGTTTATATGTACATACCTTTTATTTTTTAATATATTTTATTTAAATTTTATTTTGTTTTATTTCTTATCAAAATAAATCAAAAATTATAAACTAGAAAATAAACGAAATTTATTTAATAAAAAAACAAAAACAGTATAGGTAAACAGTAGTTTATGTTGTCCACAATTTGGCCTCCTCTGCCATTTTGCGCTTTATGTGATTGTTTTCCAATCGTAGTCTTTCTAGTTTATATTTTGCCTCATCAGCCTCATATTGCTGAAGCGCTTGCACGCGAGCTAGTTCGATTTTTGCAATTTCAATTCTATACTTTAGCAGTTCTTCATACATCTCGGCTACATGCGAGGTCGTTAATGCAGTAACCGCAGGCCTGCGACGACTAGCATCATACTGTGCTCTGGCGGGCTAGAAAACAAACCGATTAATTATTAAACATGACGATAATAAACCACCAACCTTATTAGGTGTACTCTTTGGGGTAGGTTTTAACGGTTTTGAAATCGGTTTTGTCAAATCCTTAGCGCTGTATCTCGCCCAATTCTGCAACATCCAAATAGCAATGTAATTAAATAAAATAAATTTCATACAGCTTACCGTGGTATCGATATTTTTCATAATTGAATCATTGTCAATTGGATTATTGTCGATTGTACCATCAACATTGTCGCCATAGTCAATGTCGACATGGTTGATTTCGGCGGAAATTTCTTCGTATTCCTCGCACACAGTAGGCAGCTCTCGTTCGCCATCTATCTACAATAAAATTAGTAAAACGTGCGTAAAGTTCATTGCAATTATTTAAATTAATTCCTACCACAAAATATATTTCCTGCTCGGAGGCCTTTGCCGGTTCCTAAAAAGTTAATATTTACAATTATTACTGCAAAATTACGCATTATTGCAAATATTACCGGTTCAGGCTGCGTCGAATCACTGTCGAAGGGCGATTCCAATCCCTTAATAGTTTTGGGATTGATAATGTCCAAAATAATGTCTTTGTCATCAATTTTTGTTTTTTTGGCGGTCCTCCACCGGTTAAATATTTCATGCGTTTGTCCTCTGCGGCTACTTTGCGTGTTGTTTGTACCGTGTTTAAAAAAAAACGATGTAGTGAATCGGTTTCTCTAAAAATTGCAGTAGGAGAGGAGGCATTAAATTCTTCTGTAATTTTCTTCCAATATTTGGTTTTTAAATCATTACTAGCTCCATCCGTCTTCGTATTGCATACTATATGCTTATATTTATGAACAAGATTTAGTAAGCAGTCTCTTTCTTGTGGAGAAAAATTTGGGGCCCGACCCCTTTTCTTTTGTGCATTAGTTGCCATGCCAATAAACTATATACAAATTATAAAAGTAATTACTCAATTTTGTATAGAATTATTTGCCTTACCTTGCTTTTTTACAATACACCAACAATCGCGAACAATAAACAAACACAGAACATAACCTCAAACGCATCAGCTGTAGGTTTAAAATCGTATTAGTTAGTAACTGTTTAAATGGTAACGGTGCAAATGATTAATTTTATGTAATACTTAAAATTTAATAACTACTTAACTAAATATTATTTTAAGCAAGTGCGGTGCAAGTGGACATTAATAACTTAAAAGTTAATAAGTGTTTTGTGCCAAAGATAATCTTTGTTTTTTGCATCAATGGCTACTGTTTTATTTTCTCCGTGGTTTGTCAAAAATGGCGAATGCTCCGGGATTAAACTTTCAGTTCTGTGCATTCACCATTTTTTTATTTTAATTTTACACCTCTGTAGTATACATTGTATACTTTTAAAAATATTGCTGTTTAAAATGCGTAAGGGCGTATCTCGTTTTTTGTACCTACTAAGGAAATAATGGTAACCTTTATTACTTTAGGCTCTGATTTAGGGTGGCCGGAGGGGCCCATGCCTCGGGCGGAAGTAAGGGGGCGGCGAAAGGAACATCTAAATATTGCAATTTTTGAAATTTAAACTTTATACATTTAAATATAGGGACATTTAGAGGTCTGTTTTAACCCCCCCCCCTATACATGCACTGTTCAAAATTTCATGACGATTTTAACCACAAATTAACACCATACATGGTCTATATCGATACAAACCAAAATGGTGTTAAATATGGTTCGTTGGTCCGGTGTAAATTCAAATACTAAAATAGTGTAAATTTAACTTTCACCCAGTATTAAAATAAATTTTACCTGGTGTAAATTGAACTCCTTTTTAAATATTATGTGTTTTGGTCAAATTAAATCATACTACACAGAAAAAAAGGAAACAGGAAGTTCCTTGACGCATTACTAGTATATTACCAGTGGTATTATTCCAGAAAATTGAACCTTTAACTCGCTAGAGATAATGTTTTTAGTGCGTTCCACCAACTTAAAATACTTCAAGGATTGACAGCTGTTTTGATCTATATAAGGTCTCTTTAGTATCGAACAACTTGTACTGTCACACCAAAGCAAAGGACTACCTGAGCTTATATACTCTTCATGTAAGTCAATAGAGGCGAGATTTAAGAACATCACGTGATCCACACCGCCTTTGCCGCGATCGGTACACTATGCAACCGGGAATGCACGGTAAATTGTTTTAACAGAGTGCTTTAGGTTGAAGTAACTCTTATTTTAGAAACAACATATTTAGTAAACTGAACCATACAGCGGGTTGGTTTCACTAAAGTTTGATGGGTTAATTTAACCAATTTAAAAAAAATAAAATAACTATCTGGTTTTTTTTCGTCAAACTAATCTTTGTTCATATTAACCTTCCAACAGTTGATAAAAATTTAAAAAAATACAAAAATAAATACTTATGGGTCAACTAAATTAATATAGTTAAATGAACTATTCTTTTTTTTCTGTGTAGGTGCACTTCTCAAATATTTTTAGATAAACACCGTTTTGGTGTTTGCTGTAGGTATATAACATTTTCAACCATAATTCATGGTGTTTATATTAACACACACAGTACACAGTTGGTGTTGGATTTTGACACCATTTTAAGATTACTTTTTACACCACAAATATTTTAAACAGTGTGATTACTAAACTAATGGTACAAATTTAAGAGGGTGGTACGATAATTTTGAACAATAATGTCGGCATAACAAACATAAATGTCGGAAAACGTTCCCCTACGCAGCTACAAGCATGAAAGATTAAACACTCCTTTTAAATTTCGCGCGGGTTTAACGAGCCGACCGAATAAGTGCTTCGGGAATAAAAAGGGAAACATTTAAAAGTTATCTAATAAAAACAGAAAACACGAAACTATATTAATGTATAATGTGAAATACAGGGTGTTCCAGAACTCGCGTCACAGAGAAAAAGGGAACATGACAAGTTATGCGAAACACATATTTGAAAATTAAAATTATCCAACGCAAAGGATAAGCGAGATAAGAATAAAAAACGATAGCCAATACTAATACGGCCATAGGGAATTCTTTAAATTTTTTCCTGGGACGATACTAATTTTCTTATTTTTAATGAAAAATACAAACTTTTTGCATTTTTACATTTTCTTTGTTTTTAAATAGAAAATTAAGTCTTACACAGGGTGGTCGGAATTTTACTGAATAAACTTCTGCAGTATTTTTTACCTTAAAATTATATATATTTTTTTATTAAACCTGACGCATTGATGACCTACATTTTTGCCTGGAGTAGTTAAATCGGTAAATAAAAATTAGTTCGGTTCTTTCTGTAGTATGCACCATTTTTCTAATATTTAGGTTGTTTGATATATCAATACTAATATTTTAACTAAAACGTGTAACAACTCTGCTAAAGGTAAATTAAAACGAAACAAATAAAACAGTTTTTTTATATACGAGGTTTGTTCAGAAAATTGTTTGAAAAAGATATTTATTTATTCGTCTACATTAAAGTTGACGCCTTCAAAATAATCCCCAATAGATATTATGCACTTGTGCCAGCGCTTCTTCTAATCCTCTAAACTCTTCTCAAACACGATCTTTGGGTTAGTCTTTAGTTCTTTCAGCGATGCGCTTTTAATGTCATTTATGCAAAACGAGGGCCCTTTGAGGTTCTCTTTATTTTGGGGAATAGGAAAAAGTAGGAAATATGTAGGCTGGGGCATAATTACAGTATTGTTTTTGGCAAAAAATTGTGTTTAAAATTCAAAAATTTTGGTGCCACGCGTTTCATACCCAAAACAATCGAAAAAAAATCATGGTATAAGCCAATCGATATGCCAACATCATCAGCAACTTCTCTGATTGTGATTCGGTGATCGTTCATAACCATTTCTTCCACTTTTTCCATGTTTTTATCGGTTGTTAATGTGCTTGGGCGTCCGGGGCGTTCGTCATCTTCAACGTCTTTACGGCCATCTTGGAAACTCTTATATCACTTATAAACTCTTGTTTTACTTATAGCAGACTCACCATAGGCCTTTGTTAACATTTCACACAATTTATTTGATACAAATTCTTTGATCCAGTTCTTTTAACGAACGAAAATCGCCGAGCTCATAAAACACGTCTAACCTTAGCGGTTGCCACAGACAAAGTAAACAATTAAAACATATAAAAATGTTATCATTCTTCAGGGGTATGTATACCAACATAATAAAGACAATTTTATTCCCGTTATTTTCTGAACACACCTCGTATAACTTTTGTATGGAATTCTTTGTTTTATTTATATCGCACCTTTTTTGGCTCTAACTCGCGAATTCATGATCGGATTTTAATTTTTTTAACTTCAATCCTTTTAAAATATTTGAGTAGGAGTAGCTGGGGGTGAGAGGTGGAACATAAAATTTGTTTAATACTGGATTTTTACTCCTCCCTCAATATTTAAATCGACCTGTTTTTGCTCAAGACAGGGGGGTATACCGATATTTTAATTATTAGATATGGAACCTACACCAAACTTATATGAGTTTATAATGACATTAAATAAACAAGTTCTGCGCAAGCAGAATTTAAATTGAAGTTTTCGAAAAAAAGATAACTTTTTGCTCGGCCGTACCGGCCCCATGGAGCCCCCAATAAATATAATATAAATTTAATTGGTGCAATTTATTATTTTCCTAGTCAAATTTTAAATTTTATTTAAAAAATCCAAATTATAAAGATTTTATACCATTTTAAATTTTTATTATTTCTTTTAAAAGAAAGATCATATTTACTATAACCTAAAAGTGATTAAGGGTGGCTATTTTTTAATTGAAAGCCCGGTCTGTAAGTAGATTAAAACTTTTAGAGATTCTACGAAATACTAGATCCAAAACAATGATTATTAGTATAACTCAAATTAAAGAAAATATTAATTGAACATTTCAACTTCTAGTTTTTAAATTTGCACGGATTATTACGGTTTACGTTTGCTACGGACTGTTGCTAATGAAATTTTTAAATGAATTCGTGTTGCGATAACGTTGGGGATTAAACTTTTCTTCTAATGCAGCGGATTACCGTTACCAGGAATGGGTTTATCTCGCCTCTATGGCTCAACTAATGTCGAACCTTTCCACGCTTAACCACTCTATTGTAAAATGTATTGCATTCGTTATTAACACCGATTAAGCAACACTTGACTTCTTTGTGTAAGACTGGTATTGAAAACTGTATATCTACTAAACCCAGCCATATACACTGTTATAAAAATCAGATTTGTTAACATGTGTTTTTTAATTTTATTTTATGTTTCTGCTTACTTTATTTTAAACGTAACGTGTTCGTAACAACAGTTACTGTCCAGAGAGTTTATAATATATTACCAGAAATCGGTTACTATTGTTATTCGGGTTCCTTATACCTATTTAAAAAGTGTGCGAAGTGCAAAGTATCAAAAAAAAGATGCCATTACTGGTTTTCAAACTGAAATTAGGAGAGACGTGAACACAGGGATCCGGAACGGGTCAAAAGTTAGAAAAAAATGACAACAAAAACCAACCGCAGGGTATTGTTAGAAACAACCCCCTCTCTTAAAATGAAATACTCAAAATTCTACTATTTGAATTACCAGCATTTTTTACCAATAAAATAGTCTCTTTTACTTTTAAATAGTTATTTTTTACTACGTAAATAGTTAAAGTTTGACTAATTTAAGATTAGTTACCATCTTTGACTATTTCTGAGAGTTAAAAGTAACTAATTTCTTTAATCTTTTGCGGCCAACAACAAAGTATTATTTGAATTAAATGCATACCTATATGCTCTATGGTTAAATGGCCCATAAAAACAAAGATGCAAAAAGTTTAGCTCAAAACAGCAACACAAATAATATTTTCAACTTTAAAATATTATGAACAATATTTATTGACAAATAAAATTGATTTTTATAAGAGCGGCTGATA